CCCCCCCCAAACAATTTTGCATTTCTGGAGTTCCCATCTAATGATTTTATTTTTCAATTAATTCCTTGACAGAATGCCAGAATTGGTCTCCCTCCACTTCTGCACTTCATGAATTCTGTGGGAAACAGGCAGAAGTGGGGGGGAAAAAAGATGAGAGAGGAAAAAATATATTTTCTTGACGTGCCTTCCACCTCTGAGGGAGACCCTTGGAGAGATTAAAGGGACTAGAATCATCTATTAAGAAAGCAAAGAAACCTAAAAACATCCTTAAAGGGAGAGGTACGGTGGCAGCTGTATTTGGCCCAAGCACTGAAAGCCAACCCAGTGAAACCTGTCTGATGAGCTAACCTGTTTCAAAGCCTGGCACTTCACAGATATCGGCAACCTTAACTCTGCCCTAGAACCCTACCCAGCTACCACCTGCAGACCCTGTAGTACTGCCCAACCGCCATCTGACTAGCATTGACACTGTGTCATTTCCCACCTTACTTTCCAAATTCAGGATGGACATCTTCCCCCCATTTACTGCCATTGTTCCTTCCCCTGTCTCCATATAGGCTAAAGACCACACTACATTGCTACTGAGAAACGAGAATATCTCCTTCACATGCAGGCAACAAATCCAGAAGACACCTTATACTACAGATTGAACGAAGGAAGAGTTACAAATGGACCCTGTCCCACTAATTTACATGTGGGACCACGGACACACAACGGGGGCTGGAGTCCAATATGAAATAATAGTTCTGTACCACTATAAAGGAGATCAGAAACAAGCTACATACATTTAGGGAAGGCAAAAATTGCTGCCAGCCTGCATTTATGCTGAAACCTTAACTCCTAGTTCCCAAGTTTCAAACAAAAGCCAACCAGCCAACCAACCAGGAAAACCTCCTCTCGATATACAGCAAAGTCAAATGATTTGGTGTTGCTTAAACAAACCCAAAACCATTAATCATAGTAGAATCCAACATGTTGATAGGTTGCTTGTGACTTTGGCTTATCTATAACACCCATTTCTAATGTGCTTTTAATCATCTCTAATCCTCATTACCCATGTTGTACACAATGCTTATAATATTTTATCGATCACTTAGGAGTCCTTCATAAACTATTTACTACACACAAAAACCTATACTAACAGAACATTACAGTTACAAAATCTAGTGCCCCAAAAAGCAGGAAAGGAAAGAATGAATACCACCTGTGCAATCTTAATATGATCACATATGTGATACAGTAGATGCAGGCTGAGGATCTCACCTTGCCTTCCCCAAAAGAGGCATGAAATGCTAGTGGCTTGTATCATTCTCTCTTGCAGTGTGTTAATGCCCAACTTTTAAAAAAAATTGTTCAACATTTTCTGGGACCATGGGTGCTCCATAATTAAAACAAACAACCCATTCAACACAAAATGTCAGATGCATTGTAACAGATATGTGTGGGTTCAATCCTCATCACCATAGCACTAGAGCCTCCAGTGTAACAGAGGCCTCTGCACAACAGCCATACAAGGTAGGATACAGGTTCCCCTTGCTTTTTGCTGTACATGCATTCCTGGAAAACAGTGCATTACTCACATTTGCATGAAGGAAACCCACTTTACAATGTAACAAATAGGGATACATTCCAAGACCTTGACTGTACTGACCCCCAGACCCATTTCTACCACTTTTACAAGACAATTTTGGTATTCACCAACAGCAGACAGTAAATGCAAACACAGGACACTATTATAATAGGGATGGCAACTACAGAAATACATGTTACAGACAACAAGCAAGGAGCACAGATCCACACAGGACACTATATTTTGGTGTACATCACTCCCACGATGCGCCGCACGAAGCAGCTGACTGCGGGCTTCCACACCAATCACGTAAGAGTGAATTTACCTTACATATAACAAAATTTTGGTATAAAAACCATCATTGCATAAGAGCAAATTCACACATACAGAACCTGCATAAAGCGAGGGAAACCTGTAGTGCTATTATCTTAATTTGAAAGCCTAGGAGATGAGGTACAAGGAGACCAAGAAACATGTGCATCACTTACTCTGTATTCTTTGTGCTGCCTGGGAGGAAATTTTGACAATAT